TGATTATAGCCAACTCGGCGCTACGCGCCTCGTTGGCTATCTATCATCTCATATCCAACGCGCGCTCGTGGAATATTTGTTAATTATTCGTCGCAAAAACCGTGATCCGTCAATACCCGAGTAAATATGTCTTATCGCGTGATATTTGTACTCGTCTCGCGCGTTATTTGTATTCTACCAAGCACAGCTGGAAAATAAACTCACTTCCTCATACGCTGTTTTTGTAAACTGCCCATGGCTGTCTCGTAAACTGAGCTGGTTGTTCTGGCTGGTATGAAAATGTCCCTAATGATGCATCGAATGGCTGACAAATATTTACACAGCGGGGGTGCCAGTTTCGGCGCGACTCAGTCTAATTTTCCGGCGGCAACAACCATATTTCGTGGGCTATCTCATGAATGTCAACAAGCTAAAGATTCCTGGATCAGTTTTGTTGCAGCGCGCAGCTAACATTTTATCTGCTGTTATCTCGATGGGAACCCAATTCTACGGCTGTGTATCTCATATCGGGAGGTTTTTACACTAGTTTGAGCTTTACTTGCATGAAATAGTATGCACACAGCGAGAATGAATTGAAAACACGCATATGAACCACTTCTTACCTTTTGCGCATACGCGAGTAATCCGTCATCGTCTGTATTTTAGTTCATTCACATCAAGCCAATGAAAGGAACGCCAAATAAAAAAATTATGCAACTGAAAGGAGAAGTCCTCGCGTTTTTCGGCGGTATTGATGCATTTTAATTTTTGATTGGTGCGGTAGCTCTTGAAAACTTTTGAACCGACGTAAAATTTGCATGTCAACAAGATCAAGAGCACAGAACTCCACTCTTAGATGATAAACATCGGATGGGGATGCAATATTATCCTTGGATGAGAAAAAAATAAACTGCAGGCAAAAAAAAAATGCCCGTCGTCAAAACGACCATCAAGCGATCTGATCATGGCTCTTTTAGGAATAAAGTATTGAGTGTTCCATGAGTGATTGGTCAAAAAGAAAATCTTCACTTAAGACAAAATTTAATGAGATGCACAAGAATCGATTCATTAAGATTCATTTTGTAAAACTGAATCGAACGCAATGACTTTTTACCCATCCACCGATTTTTGACTATCAACTAAGGCCAAATGGAGATAGATATATAGTCATGGTCGACAGAAGTTCATAAAAATTGACTTAGCTCTCCTATCTTTGTTCTCGAATAGCAGCGTTTTCAGTTTTCCCTCGCTCGCAAGTGATGCAATAAACTCAATAACTTCAAAAAAGATAACATTGTAACTGACACCGGCTTCTAAATCTCCGATAAAAATGACAGATTAGCGAGACAGCTTTGTGATAGCTAATCTTATCTAAAGAGGTGCCCTTGAACAGAATGCGAATGAACTGAATTTCCAGTGCATAACAAAGGCACACGTCTTTGCCAGAAATCATCTGTTTTCGCAAGGGCCAGTGCTACTGCGAGGTGATTCAGTGAAGTTAAGAGGACGATTGAGTAAGAGGAAGCTAATCAACTGTTGAAACTTGAAAAGTTAAAATTTGATATGTGGGAGAAGATCTCGTGCATGCTCTCGATTGAGTGCGCTTCTCTACACCACATATTCTGCAAATCTAGTTTTCAAAAATCAATCTAAAGCTTTGGCTTGGGGTATTCGATTTTACCGAGTAATACCTTAAGAACCGTTAGCATGACAACGTAATCTACAGTCAAATAACTAAAAAAGCTTTCAAAAACGCAATCTCGGAGGAGAACAGTACATCTTAAATCTAAAATGCGCGAAAACTGCTACACGCGTCAAGTCAATAACAAATCAATAGCCTGTAAACCATTATGATAAAACATCTTAAGAAAACAATTACCTTTCATACATGTAATCCTTCCAAGTTTACGCCATTTGTGATAACCACAAAAGAAATTTCTCCCACAAGCAGGAAATTGCAGTGTGTCGCAAGAATTGGCGTGATGAAGGAAACTTTGGACAATTCAACAGCGACTTAACAATCCCCACTCAATGTTATCTTTTTCTTTTCTTGTTTATTGGTCGTCTTCCGTTTGACGTCATAGAAATTAAAAAATTTCCAGACTGACTATCCGACAAAGCTTCGGAAAATGTAAATAATCGTTATGGAAATCCATTATCCAGTGCAATCATAAATTTGTAATTTAGAACACACTGATGTTTAAGTAAATTTGGAAACCGAACGCATCGGAGTTGTCTGTTGTTGATGTATGCCTTACAGAGCGAAAAATACTTTTTGCTTATTAAACCGCCTATAATCCTATATGGTAAACAAAAAATCGTGTACTTCTTGAAAGTTCTACATTAATCATTGCAACGAAATTGGTGAAGTCTACCCGGGAAGAACATTGGCAAACCAGAAGTAATTGAATAGATTGCCATCTGCTGTGGGAAAATTTCATATTTTCGTGTCTTCACGCGGTTTAAGGAAAAAACTGGCCCTAGCGGTCTTTAATTTTATCATTTCACTCCTTTTCAGCGCCATTACGAGTTCGTATGTGTGGCATAAATCAGACTCGCGCAGTTGATCAAGAATCAAGCAAGAACTTCTGAGTTTTTCGAAGAGGATATGAGAGTTGAAAGCTAACAGAGATGAAACACTACGATCAGATTTTTCTCTGATAAAATACGAGTCTACGAGTCTTCAATGCGTTTACTTCGGACAGGGTTTCTACAGAAAGTTTGCCCTTGGCCTTGTTTCAAAAAGGAAATAACTATTTCCCCAATATAAGTGCGTAGGTGAATTCGTAATTAAAATTACCAAGCTATAAAAATCCGGAAAGGAACCGGGGATACCCGCAGTTGGAACTCAGTATTAAATTTACCTCACGTGAGCAAACTCCGCAAAAAGCTTCTCTATAGAAGCATGTTTTAAGAAACGCTGTCATTACCTTAAAAGGTATTAGCTTTCTTTGAATTTCATTTTCGAGAGCGGAAACCACGGCACCTTTTCAAGAGCAAAAAAATTTGTGAAAAAGTATTACATTACATTTTGCGTGCAAATCTAAAATCTCTCGAGATTAGCTTAGAGGATAGACAACTTTGGGAACAAAGACCGTAAGCTTATCAGTGATAAGGGTGATTGTCAAATCATTTGAACAAATTGATTCTAACTTTACCCCCTTTGTTCCGAGATAGATCAAGTCTGACGAGCCTCAATCTAGTTCAGTTTTCTTCATCCTTAACAATTACATGATTATTTTTGGAGTATCTCTGCCTCTTTCATGTTTCTCTTTCCTCGCAAATTATTTACTCATTGTTTCCAACTGACGACGCTTTTCGACGAGCTTCTAATGAAGCAAGTCAAAAGATCCAACGTTTTCCTTTAAAAAATAGTTTTCTCTTGATTCCACTTTGAAAAGTTCAGTTTTCTTATTTGCCAATTTTGGTGAAAAGCCAAAAAAATGTACCTTCATGTTTAAACTTCCTTTTTCAATAAGAACACAAATTTGGTCAATAAAATCTCAATCAACAAAATGCAAGTTAACACGTCTTCCAAGTATCATGGTGTGTTATTACACCCGACCGATCATAGTTTCGCTCAGTTACGATTTCCTGTAGGTAATTAGCAAAAATTGTCAAATATGTCTATTTTTCGATTATGAGCCATTAATGAATAATGTATTGTGGTTGTAAAATGACTTAAAATTTGCCACACGAAACTCCACCTGATTTACACCAAAGACAAGCTTTTATGGACCCTTAAAAAATTCTGTAAACATGAATTCGTGACAAGATTACTTTTTAACATTGCCGACTTTTTCCACTCCGTCGGCTAACACAAGTACAGTCGACTGCCAGTCGAGCAGTAAAATCAAGCCATTTCATTTAGCGTCCAAAGATCTAATATCATGTCGAAAATTGCCACATAAGGCGTGGTATAAAGGGAAGATGAAAATCGTGATTATGTGTACTTTTCTAGACCGGAATTACGGGGGGGAAAACTGATATTTATATCCCTTAACACTCTCCGGCATTACAAAACCAAAATGTTATTAATTAGAAGCGACATAAGCTCTTCTAACGGGCTGGTTTTTGTGCCCATGAGTGAGAAAAAAGTATGAAATGAAGCCGCAAACACCTGTAAAGCTTTTTGTCTTGACCACAAACAGGATTTAGGTACGAATAGAGAAAAAATACAAATTGAAAATAATAGACTCGATCCAAGCAACAGAATTTATGAGCCGCAAGTTTTAATTTTGCGACGAAAATTTTCAAAACTTACGAAAGCTTTCCAAAGCTTTCCAAGCTGTATAATTCTTTCTAACAGTGCTTCGAAATTCTGCGAGGAAATATGAAGTTACGTATTAAAGAAAATGATGCATGACAATTTCATGTTTGGACGGGAGACTTACAAAATTTGGATAGATTTACAAAATGTTATTCATTAATTCAGTGAATTTAATTTGTTTACCATTAACGTCAAAGCTAGAAATAATTGTGCTGCGAAATTCCCTGAATTATGCAGCATGGAACAAGCATTTCAAACTCCCTTCAATAAGAAATACGTCCTCTAAAGGATGATGATCGGCCAAAGAAATTAAATATAATTTTGTTAGCACAAACGTCGATTACACGCGCGCAAACTTGGGCAATGCTTCTCGACAAATAAATCACGACAAAACAGCCGCAAAGCTTCCAACGCAAAATCAATATGATGAAGTATTTCAACCAACCTTGTGCCAATCCACGCTTTTTCGATGTCCTATCATTACTCAGAGCCCAAAAAGGCTTTTAGAAAAGTGAACGAGCGAGTAAACAGCTCACGGACTACAGAAACTCCAACTGCGAGAGATTTTTCGTTACCGTCACAAGATCAGATTAACACAGCCGGCCATTGACGTCATCTGTGCAGAGAAAGTGTTTGGCGGGAAAGGGAAGTGATGACATCAAAAAGACGATCCTATTGTTTTTGTCTGGAAAAAACATTTAGAGAAGTGCTTGAAAATATTTTTAGCTCATCAGTCTGATTTCTTTCTTTTTTTATACAAAACAACTAAGTTTTAAACACGAAAATGTCTCCGACAGTGATAGTGCAACTCGTTGTTTTGGACCTTTCCGCACTATTAAATGACGAACGTTTCAACTCAAGTGGGCAACCCAAGACGCTAATAAATATGACCTCTTGCACTCTCACTTTACATCAACCTATAATTCCCTAAAAAGATCATTTCATATGATCATTTCATATACCAGGAGCCCATTCCTGCATATAGGGATATATACGTTTTTGTCATATCCAGCTCTTGGATAGCTGTATGCATTTTGGTATGCACGTTTTCTGAGCGAAGACGCACTTGCGCATGCGCGAAGTGCAGGCATACACAAATGTACCGGTATTTTTTCAAACCATATTTGCTTTTCTCTTAGCAAAAACAAAACAAAAAAAATGTCGAAAAGAAGGAGGAGGAGGAGCAAAAATTAAAGTATAGCTGTAAAAACTAACACCTCAACTCTTACAAAATCGTACTTAAAGAAAATACCACAAAAAGGCAAGTTACAAGTTACTGTTTAGTTCTAATGGGATTTGAATGGTCAGCTTGGTGTGAAAAATTTTCGATAACGACAGAACACAACACTGAGGAATTAACAATAAGTTGAGTGTTTACTAAAACTCCACCTTAGCTCAAGTCAAAATTGACTTATCTGGCAGCTGACCCCGGTGAGCAGAGAAAATAAATCTGCTTTGTTTTTCATTTCTTGTTTCCTTTACCTCGTGTTTTGCGTATTAGATGTCTTTTTCCGGTTGTTTGGTTATTATTTTATTTCCGGTTGTTTGGTTATTATTTTATTTCCGGTTGTTTGGTTATTATTTTATTTCCGGTTGTTTGGTTATTATTTTATGATCTGACGAGTAATTCCCACTTTGGCTGCTGTCCATTTCTTTGTGAATTAGTTAGAAGAATTTGGTGTTACAAATCAGTGAAACACTTTTTAGCTGATAAAGTTGTTCATTCTCGACAGCTATTTTCTGAATAATGTATTGATATTATTGAGAGACGGTACATTTCGAGAAATTCTGAGAGTTAACGAGCTAATTTCGTAATTAATTCCGTTGAATGTGCAAAAAAAATTTCTTCCATTCTTGTGAGACAAACAGCTTTCATGTGTGTCGATTGATTATGGAGAATTGCCCAACAACGATATTTAATAACTGCAACAGAAACAATATCAACAGATAATGAAACCTGTACAGAAAAACTCATAACATGTTTACATAAAATAGGATATTTTTTTTAAAACGATTTAAAATTTTCGCTGATTCTGATGCGAGACTTGTAAAGGTTTCCAGTCTCTGCATGTTGAAAACGAAGACTCATATTAACCCTGAAATTACTATAAGACGTTAAAGTAGAGAGACTATAATTCATCGGGAGAAAAATGCTCAGGAAGACCTTATATTTGAAGGAAATTATTTTGGTGTTCGAAAAATTTAGAGGATTGAACATGTTTTTTTTTTTATTATTATTACAATTTTTTTCTAGCATCACGTTGTATCAGCGGCTTACCGACTAAGTCAATAGTTTTCCACTTGGCAGGACGTCTCAAGGTAATTGAAAGCAAATACACAAAAAAGCAAATTTCGTTAAATTTTATGTAAATATGTGAATATTTAATGCACTGTGACCTCGTCCGCCGTTAGTGCGACACCTGCTCAACAAAGATGAACATTTTAATAGCTACCGAGGGCGGATAGTACAGTTTGCAGTGGATCTCCCGTTGTTCAAAGTTTACTTCTTGCCCTTAAAGACGCAACAGGACTCTAGAAAAAGATCTAAGCTGGTAGCCGGATAGAAAAATATAAATAAACCACCTTTCGCTTGCGTGAATTTTGAAAATTAGTTTTAACATTTCACATTTTATTTATATAACGTCATGTTAGCAGTACTCGGTCTCAATTTGTGCTTATCGTTGACAAAATGGT